TTATTTTACAGTTAAAATGAATGTTTATCAAATAAAGTCTAATGTTTCAACTAATCGGGGATCCCTTTAAAGAAAAAGCAGAAAGTAACGTAAACTCGACACACCTGTGTGGCCTTCTCTAGTTGTAGCTTCAAGTCTGCCAGCTCCTTGTCTGTGTCACGTAACTGGGCCTTCAATTTCTCGTTTTCGGCTAAGATCTGCTCGTAGAGCTGGGAAAAGATCGTCCCAACGAAAAAAAAAAAGGACAGTGAAGGCACAAATGGTCGTCTTCGTATAAAAACATCTGGTTTTTGACTGCACTTTAGTCTTTGATTATATACTTTATGCTAAGAGCGTAAACGGAGTGTACCTTCTTGTAGTCAGTGGTGTCGTCTCTGTCCAGTCGGCTCGAGTACGGCCTTCGACTCTCACCATAACTACGGCTAAATAGAGCGTCGTTGTGATCTAAAGAGGAAGTGCTCTCATTCCTGCGATGATAAAAAAAACACTTAGTTGTAATAAATCGTTTTGGAAACAGACGAACAGCGTATGGAGGAGGTAACTCACCTGGACAATCTGTCACTCTGTAAGGAAATAAAAACACAACATTAAAGTCAGAAGATTAAAAAAAGGCTTTTCTAATATAGTTCTAAATGCAGATTCAGTGATAAGAAAAGAGGTTAACTGTACTCAAGTAATTTGTTTGTAGATGGCAAAGACCTAAAGAATTTCTTGTATGTTTTCTCCGTCTAAATGCAGAGATAATCGTTTGCTTTGAGTGCTTTGATGCTCCGCCCCCTGGAAGGCTCACAGCTGGTCTGCCTCGTCTCCCTGAAGGCTGTGCTCAAACAACTGTCCTGTCTCTGTTATACTGCACGACACTCCCTTCCAAACAGGAAGTTCATCTGGTGAGCACTGGTTCAACTCTAATGCCCTCTCTGCTTTATGTTACCCCAAGCATAAACAGCATGGATGATATGGTTCTGTGTAGGGTATTATTAGAAGATGCTCTTTTTGGGACTGAAAAATTTGTGACAGTAAAAAAAGAAAGAAAMAAAGACTCAAACTTCTTTTTCTTTGTGTCTGCGTGCTTTAAAAACCTACAGATCTGTGGTTGAGAGCTTATTTGGTTTGTAAGGTCACCAAAGCAACAGACAATCACCGGAAGATGGAAATGGGGGTAACAATAAAAAAATGAAAAGGTAGCAAACAGTGAAAAGAAAACAGACGTGGGAGGGGAGGAAATCCTATCTGTGGATGACTATAGAGCAAATATCACAGACAAAAGGACTTCAATGGCCTTGATGATACGAGACGAGACAATAAGGACAAAAATCGAGGACAAAAACATGAATCAAACCGAAGGCAGCTTTATAAAAAGAGTGGGAACAGTTTGATTTGATRGACAGGCTGTAGTTGGTGCGTGAGCGTAGTTACTTGTGGCTCTCCTTTAGTGCTGCCCTCCTCTGTGTCAGACTGCTGATCAGGGTCATTTTCATCACCCTGGAATTAAAAAAGTAACACAAAACGCTGGTTAGACACATCAAGGATCAGAGCAGATCACCTGGAGCTGCCGGGGGACGTTACAAACGGCTGTCCTCAAAGACTGAACAAATTCTCACATCTGTAGTCCTGACCGGCACCCCGGTGGGACGCCTCTTCTCGCGGGGCCGCCTGCGATCCCGTATGGAGCGAGGCTGAGACTTGTCCTCGCCCTCCTTCTCCTCCTCCTTTTTGTCCGTTTCTGTTCGGAGGACGATCAAGGAGACATGTTAGAAGTTTAAAGATCTAAAGGAACAACAGTTTGTTCTTGTTCTACACTCTGTGACCCATTTTTAACCTCCTGCCCAGCGACAAATTTAACCCCTTTTCGACATCGGTGTGCAAATACCCAAATAATCCGATCAAGAGTTTCGGTTCAGGTGAAATGAGGGACACAACAAGGCCCGATCCTGACAAGTGAACCTGGCCAGAGTTCAGAGCGTGTTTAGTCACAGAACAATGAGGTCAGTGTTTCCTCCAGCTGGGTGAACAAAACGGGCTCTCTGTTTTCCAAGGGAAACTTTGTGGATTTGTGTTCAAAAAGAAGAGGTGGTTCATTTAAAAAAGGCAACCCAATCCCGTTCTGTTTTAACGCTCTTAATCAGCTCYTGGCTCTTTGCCACGCRGACCTGAGGAGTGGGACTCAAACACACATGAAATGCTTGGAGCCGACTCTTAGAAYCATCTCTGCCCGTCACTACTTTTAAAAAGCACCGACCTTTTTCTGTATCTCGAGAGGAGCGGCTGTAGGAGGAGGTGATCCCCGTCAGGCTGTTGGGCCTGTTCAGGGAGCTGGAACTGGAGGACAACGCTGTGCTCGAGTAGGGAGTCGTGGAGGCAGTGCTGACTGTGGAAATGCTCGAGGAGGAGTAGGAAGATGAAGGCCGATAGCGCTAAAGAAGAGAGAGAGAGAAAAAAAATCAATTTAGAGGGACAGCAAATCAAAAAAATTCAGAGTTTTTTTCTTACTGCAGAGCAGGTTTCGACAAATCCTATTGCCCGACTGCCCGGGGRAGGTAAAACCCATTGGCGGGCAGGTGGGTGTGTRCCAATGCCTGCCCGACCGGGCAGGTAAACAATTTTATTTTTTTATGGGCTATTTACTCAAAATATTCTGAAAATAAATGAAGAAATATGGCGTTTTAAAACACATAAAGAGAGAATAAATCGTCAAAATGTCCCCCTCCTGCTGTAGAAAAGTTACATCTTGCCGTCYTGTCACAGGATCACTTCCTCCCACCTTCCTGCTGCACGTCGCACAGAGAGAAGGTTTAACAACTGTAGTTTTTTTCACACCCGTGTTTTCGGAGGTAAAAATGTTTTTTTTTTTATGTATTGTTACCCACAGAGAAGAAAAAAAAATGTGGACGTTCATTCAGTCATAAATCCATCTTGCTAATGTCGGCTTCTGCTCTGAAGATGAGCGGAGCAGCAACAGCGGGTCAGAAGCTCATTGTATGGCAGGCCTATCTGTCATTTATTTGGCTTCACCACACATTCTAGTTATCTAAAATTGTTTTATGACTAAATTAGACATATTAGTTATTTAGGATAAAATAATAAAATGTTTTCTTTTATTATTTTGTTTTATTTAATTTTTTTTAATTTGGAGAGCTTTCCATCTTGAGATTGTTTGTTGAAGTTGATTTTTGAAAATAAGGGGCAAATATGATAAAAAGTTTTTTTACTTCACTCTGCACCCTTTTACTTCAGGGTATGATTTCCTTTGTTTTTTTAATGCTGTACATAGATGGTTTTGTTTTTATGAATGAAAGAAAGAAACAAATAAAGAGACATCTATTAATATATTTTGACAATTCAAAATACCTATTTAAGATATCTCTAATTATATTCTGACTTGTATAAATAACATTAGATTTATCTTCATGTTGTTTGGAGACTCCAGTTAAAGATATCTTAAATGTATCTTTGGATATGAGATTCACTATATGAGATTTAATTAATGCAAATTTCAGACTTTTTCATGTTCTGTAAATTGTTTTAAAACAAAGCTGCTGCTGTTGATCATTCTGTTTTCATAAACCCCACCCCCAAGGCCAATACTATAGGGAAACACTTTTTTGAAGATGTTCTTGATAAAACAATTGACTGTTAGTAACTCAGTCTAAAATGTTTGCATCTGTTTAATCAGATGTCATATATTATATACATACCTCTGTATAACCATGTTAATATTTTTGCAGTACAAAGTACAGTATACATTTTTCTTATTTTATCAAAATTTGAACATTTTTGTTTCGGGCAGGTAACTTTTCATGTCGGGCAGGTAGCATTTGTTGTCACCAGCCCGACAGGGCAGGTAAAAAAATAAAATCTTGTCGAACCCTGTTGCAAAGCGATAAAAGTACCTCTTCATAACTCCGGTACTTCGATCGGTAATCGTCCTCCTTTGTCTCAGTTTCCTTCTTCTCCTCTAGCTTCTCCTTGTCCTGCTTCTCTTTCTCTTCCTTCTCCTCCTCGCGGGTCTTTGGGGTGCGACCCCTGCCAATCGTCTTTTCAGCCTCTTGRAGGTCAGTTAGCGTCACACCCTAGGAGAACCAAACAATTTCCCACTATAAAAACCAACATTACCTGTAGCCTTAGACCCACTGCCCTACTTTTAGAAGCTCATCACAGACTCATCTAAAACTGAACCAACCTGTGTGGACCTCCTCGACTGTCGAGCTTGTCTGGATCGAGCTTTCCTCTGAGACTCCGACTCCTCGTCCCGCACCGGCGTCAGGTACGACCTGATGGASAGGTGCACAAAAACACACAAAGATTCACCCCCACAAAAAGAYAACAAAAAAAAGTCTTTCAACAAAACTAATCTTCAGCATTAAAGACTAGAGTTGCCCGATATCTTGTTTGAGCATCGTCATCGCGATGTGTGTACACCATAAATCCTTGCAGTAATTGGTCACATGTTACGACTTTTATTTTGAAAACTAAACAATTTTAATTTGGTTGCGAAACTTCTGGGACAATAATGGTAATGTTTTTTAGTGAAGTGAATTCTCGCGTATTGGAGGAAGACGAGGATTGTGTTGAAAATGAGGAAAAGAGGTGAAACATGGTTAGCATGAATGCTAACATTAACACGTAACGGAAACAGAAACTAAGCTCGACGCAGTTAGTTGGTAAAAAAAAATATTCAAGTTTGACACATGACAAAAGGAAACGGGAGTCAGATCTGAGCACAATAAACGATAACTAGAGTGACTCAACTACAGAAAAAAACATACTTGTAACACAGAAAAAAACAGCTAAGATCAGTGCAGGTTTGTCGTCAACAAGAGGACATTACAAATTTAAGGATTCTTCAAGTCAACTGTTGAAAATTCCTGTATTTTTTCATAATGCAATATACAGTATATAGCAGAGTTAATTTTTTTTTCAGCCAGACAAAAACTATTAAACTTTGTCTTATATGCTTTAACTTTTAACATGTACTTCCACAGGACACTAAAGTGCACCATGTTAGCTTGAAACTTAATCATGACCGACAGAATAAGAAAAAAATTTCAAAAAAAGAAGACACATGACTGTTTGTTCAGGCTGCAGCGTGCTTCTGTTGGCCACACAGAAGTATGAACTCTTTCAGAGAGCAGAACTTTGGCCTTGAACGAAACGTGCTACTTCTGCCCACCTTCCTTATTTGGCGAAGTTGCCGGAGCGGCCGGGGCTCTTAAAGCACCCTGCCCTACTCCCACCGTGACAGGTGGCTTATTTCAGCGCTGCTGCACAGAGAAATAGGCTCGATCCCACTTCAGACACACACACACACACACACACCCTCTCCCCTCGCTTTGCATGTGATCCTTTCTGCACTGACAAGACACGCGCCTGGTTTCAAATTGAGAAAAAGTATCTGGATTACCGTTTGACTGATCTGAAGCCCTTTAGAGCCCATTTTTCTATTCGGTTTTAAAGCTGTAGAAATCATTCAAAATAAAGTGAGCAGAGCTCAAAACTAATAGGAGGGAAATGTATTTGTTTCCAACCTGCGTCGTTCTGACCCAGTGCCAGTGCCAGTGGTAGATACAGCTGTGTTGGTGGTAGTGGTAGATGTGGTGGTCATGGTAGAACCAGTGTTTATAGTGGGAATGACTGCAGCAGACTCTCTCTCCTTCTCCTTCTCTGCACTCTCCTCTGACCAGTACCTGTTAATTTACACATTTTAAATACAAACTGCTAACTGACCCAGCTACATAACATAAGCTACAGTTTACAGACAAACAGCGTGTAAGACATTTACCTGCTGGTGAGACTGGTGGAGCTAGTTCGAGTGGAAGAGGAGCCCAGGCTGGAGAGCAGGCCGCGGTGGCCTGTGGGCGAGGTAACAGACGAGGAGGTGGTGGTGGTGGTTGTCGAGGCGGAGGTGGAGGTGGAGGAGGAGGTGGTGGAGGAACTCAAGTCTTCGTGTCTTCTGCCAAAAGAGCTGCTGTAGAACGGAAAAAAGGAAAAAAGGAAAGAAAGAGTTACATTTCAGATGCAGCAAAATGAAAAGGCAGTGATGGTACAAAATGTGATTCTGTGAGCCTTTTTTCCACCCCAAAAACTTTAAACTACAACAGAGAAYGATTCAGTTCATTTGGAAATATTTATGTATTTTGAATAATTGTTGAACCAAGGGCTGGGAGATAAAACAATAACGCTAAATATTAGGGGTGCAACGATACAAGAAATTCACGGTTAGGTTCTATACTTTAGTCTCACGGTTTGAAATTTTTTCGATACAAAAAAGAGAAATGTCCATGCCCCTTTTAACTTGTAATTTATTTATATTAATTATGAACATTTGTTTAACCTCAAAAGTACAGTTTTTAAATTCAATGTTGCTGAAACAGCAAGTTTCTCCGTGGACCTGCGCTCAAAAATGCAACCTAGGTTGAGTAGTCGAACACAGATCCACTGATCCTTCAACACATGTCATCTTCAGAAGACAAGATGATAAATTAAAATTTTAAAATCTGTATTGTTCGATACGGGTACATGTATTGTTGCACCCCTACTAAATATGGTGATAGACGTGATCGATATAATAGAAAATACGCCCAATCCAGAACCGCACAGCATTCTGGGGGATGTAGTCAGAGGAAAGGCTCGAGCTCTTACAGCCCAGCTAAGCAAGGTTGACGTCATCAACCAACTCACTCTTTTGTTGAGTAACGTGCGCAGTAGTTTCACGTTTCACCACCGTGACTCATAATCCTAGCCTGGTTAAAACCAGACCTTTGTCCTTCACTTTGCTTCGTATGAGGGTCTGGACTCTCGGCTATAGAGAAGTGATTCTTGCTGGAGGCGTGGCCTCTGCTGAAATGTTTGTAGCCAGCTCCATTGTGACGGAGGCTAAGCTAAGAAGCTAACCGGAATTTGCGTGCACTGTAAACAATCCTACTGAGAGGTGAGAAGTACCGAGCCGAACGAGACGACTGTAAATGAGAGCTGCTGCTTTGTCAGACAAATTTATTTTAATTTGGAAGCCTTATCAACACAGACTGGCTTCATTCACTTCCTCCACTGCCGTATGCTAAATAGGAGACACTGCGCAGAAAATCAACATCGTTCAAAACTCCGCCTTCTGTTCTCTGATTGGCCTGAATGAAATGCTCCCGAAGAAATTCTTCTCTGTGGGAGAAATCCCAGACAGAGCAGTGAAGGGAAACTAGAATTGAGCGGAAGGCAAGTGCCAAGCTACATAAGTGCTTCAAAATAAAAAAGAACAACAAGGAGAGGAAGGAGAAAATGAGGCAACAGCCCGAGATGAAATTATGAATAAAAAAGGAAAGGTCACGTCATCAGTTTGGCAGTATTAATCAGCCTTTTTTCTCCTGGTCCTTATTTCAATTGGGTAAAACGAAAAACTCATAATTATCGATGTTAACTAATATGAAACACTTTCATCTCAAACATGTATACATCGCCCAGTCCTATTTGAACCCCAACAAATCTGGAGTTTTACTTTAAGACAGGCCTTGTCCACACGAAAACACAATTTTTCCCAAAACTCCTTTTTTGTCAATTATAAAAACATTTACACACACACCAAAATTGACCCAAACTGCTGTAGTAGCAACGGTGTGTGCCAGTTCTGTTGGTGTTCCTGGAAACATTGCCATAAAAAAAACATTTCTTTACTACTTCATAAAGCATTTGACTAAAAACCAACCACCGTTTGAAATATTTACTCAGACACAACACGAACGCCCAACAGAGCAGAGGTGTGGACGGAGAGGACAGCCAGGTGTAGAGACAGCGGGAGGACGGGGGGGTGTACCTGCGGTAAATGCTGTAAGACTGGTAGTGGGAGGTGGGTGGCTGCCAGGGTTTAGTATTATAGGTGTTAGGGTCCAAGCTGGAGGTTGATGAAGACTTGGCCGGCACGTCCCGCGTGCTGCCGCTCCGCCCCAGCGCTAGCGTATGGGACGTGCTAGCGTGTTGGCAGGCAGGTGGGCGAGAGAGGCATGTTAGCAGTGGAGGTGCACACAAAAACACACACACATATATATAGAAAACAACACAAATATACACAGCTATAAAGCTTCGACACAACATTGATGTGCTCATGGCATATGGAGTAGCTACATATTTACATTTCATCCTCAGAGTTTAAATTCAATCAGAAGTTGATGTTGATTACAATGTGGTTAATTTAGTTTTTGGGTAGTGAAGTACTTCAAATTTCTAAAGTACTCGACAAAAATTATAAATTGGCTATGTCTTTAGATTTTACTGCAAAGAAGCCAAAATTTCTTATAATCTCTCCAAGTGGCCTTGAGCTTTAGTTTTTCAGAGTCTTTAAAGTTTGTCTTTACATCATTTTATCAGTTTTTTAATCTGTCCTTTACGCAACTATTACTAAATTATTTTACGTAATGCTGAATCASCATTCACACCATTGTTATCGTGTTTTTGGTTTCTCCTGTACATATTTTTCCATTAAAACTACTTCAAGAAAATTTGTGCTACTCATAATTACTCATATCAAAATAATACGTTTGATTAGGAAAAANGTACATATTTTTCCATTAAAACTACTTCAAGAAAATTTGTGCTACTCATAATTACTCATATCAAAATAATACGTTTGATTAGGAAAAACGTATATAAATTTAATTATTTTACTTTATTAAAAATAAAGAAAAAAATTCCCCCAAAAAAATGCATCAATAAATCTTTAGTTGTCCGTTTTCCTTCTTTTGCTTTAAGCTAGTCTTTTTTATATACTTTTAGTCTTTAGCTTCTTTTACTATAGCGAGCCTTTTGATACATTTAGCCGCCCTCTTGGCAACCTGAACCTTTATCCATCATTGTCCAATTTTATCTTAATCTAAAATTATTTATGAAACTAACAAGGTGATATTGAATAACTGCGTTAAAACTCTTTTTGAATTGGAGCTGAAAGTATGAGTGTTGAAAAATGATACATCTCTGCAGGTTACAAAGTGCCATAAAAGAATTTAAAACAGCTTCGTAGCCAAGTTGTCGGTTAACAGATTAGTTTGTTTGATCTCTTAGGTGGCCTAACAACTAAGATGAATCCCTCTGAATTATACAAGGACTGCGTTGAAAATGAGTAAAATGTCTGAAAAGCTACCTCTCAAGACCACTTCATATGTCATGGAAACGTTCTTAAAGAAAGAAATTCATAAATCTTTCTCAGAGTACTGGAGATTTCAGCCTTTTTTTGCTGACAAGATCAAAAGTCAAGCCAAGAAGAAAAGTTCCCAAGCAGCTTGAACAACATATAAACTAGGGTGTTTTCATTACGTGGCTTGAAGCCAGTGTGATTACACTTCACAGGACTACAACACAAATCCATGTTTAGGCTTTGTGCCACAAACAACCCTAGAAATACGATTTATCTGCTTTGAAAGGCAGCATTTGGACTCGTTAAAATTTCTGAGTGATGCATTTTGAACCCAGCAGCCTGACAGGACAGGTACAGTCATGCAACACGCTCTGTGACAGTGACAAAGCTTTCCCAGTAGCTAATGCAAACCGAAGCATGTGCAGAAGTGTCTGACTAACTAAGCAGCTACGTTGGGATCAAAATGGACGAGATCTGAGGAGTGGAAGTTTGACTGAGCTGCAGTCGGGTGGGGGGGCTAACCTGCGCTGGTAGCTGGGGGTTCTGTTGGTAAGGGAGCTTCCGTCGCTGTTCTTCAGGTCGTCGTCCCAGCGCCGCCGGGTGTAGGAGCCGCTACGTTTCAGAGCAGTAGAGTCCCTGGGGATCCACAAACTAGAATAGTACTCTATACCTCTGGTTATAAACACTGACATACAATCTGGGGGTGCATCTTTCATATGGATCTTTTTTTTTTGGGAGCTGCATTATGTTAAACTGTGTTTTATGTTCATGCTTACAGACACATCATGCAGAGCATCATGGCTTTTTTTTTTTTTTTGCCTGTAACAGCCGTGAGCAACAGGAGCCACTCATGTCAATGCATGTTTGCACAGAGCCACTGCTTGGCTCCGGGGTTTCACCTGTTTTCCTTCTCGTCTATATCTGAAGCGCTCGCAAGTCTCCTGGGGATGGTCGGAGCCACGTACGCGAGCCGGGTTTCTTTGTCCTTCTCCTGTAAGACACAAGTTAAATAAGTTGTGTAAATTTACTAGAGTTTGCATGCTTTATCAGAGTTCTGCCAGGTCGAAATAATGGACCTTCTCCTTTTCTTTGTTGTCCAGAGTTGAGGACAGGCGAGGGCTCGACGCCGAGCGCATGACGCCCGCGGTGTCCTTCTCCCTCTGCGCGTCCTTRGTAGCGGTGATCTCGGAGAGCGCCCCGTAACTGCCCGTCTTCCTCAAACCCAGACGCCACGACGCTGGAGACTCGTCCTTCTTCTCCTCCTCCACCACCACCGCCGCCTTCGTCGAGACCTTTCCAGCAGGCGGGGGGACCTGAAAACCAGCACAGGGCAGCAGCTTACAAAAAAAAACTATTTCTATTTACGAGCGTGACGATTGTTAGGTTTGTTTTTAGTTGTCTTGTTAAGACAAACATCAATCGGGTCAAACATTGTTATATTGAGGCTTGGGTGGTAGGACAGTATTTTGGTATACAATCCTGATCAAAATCTTAAGACTAGTCAAAAAAGTGAAAGAATTAGTATTTTGCACTATTGGATCTTAAGAAGGTTCTAAGTAGAGCTTCACAATGTTAAAAGAAGAAATCAGTGCAAGAGACAAGAAATTTTGAGCAGGGAATTTTCTGAAAACTGCATTTACACTCAAACATGATTTTTTCAGCTGATCAAAAGTTTAAGACCATAGTCTTTAAAAGCCAAAAGCTGTGCAAAAATCTGGATTCCATGTCATTTTCTGTCAAGTCTTTACACTGTCAAGACCTCCTGATGGCAAAAGTAAAAAATCTCACTGACTTTGAACGTGGTAGGATTGTTGAGCTGCATAAGCAAGGCCTCTCACAACGTGCCATCMCTGCTGAAGTTGGACACAGTAAGACAGTCATTTTGCATTTTTTAAARGATCCTGAGYGTTATGGAACAAAAAAGTCAAGTGGTAGACCCAAAAAAATTTCACCATCTCTGAGCCGCAGGATCCGACTGGCTGTCCGTCAAGACACGGGACGATCCTCTACCCAAATTAAGGTCATTACTGGTGCTGACTGCAGCCCAATAACCATCAGACGGCATCTGAGAGAGAAGGGCTTCAGGAACAAAAAACGTCTTCAAAGGCCACGTCTTCTTCAACGCCACAAAATTGCCCGTTTGGACTTTGCAAGGGTGCACCAAACATGGGACATTGAAAGGTGGAAGAAAGWTGTCTTCTCTGATGAGAAAAAATTTAACCTTGATGGTCCTGATGGCTTCCAACGTTACTGGCATGACAAGGAGATCCCACCTGAGATGTTTTCTACACGGCACAGTGGTGGGGGCGCCATTATGATTTGGGGTGTGTTTTCCTTCGATGGAACAATGGAGCTTCAGGTTGTGCAGGGCGTCAAACAGCAGCTGGCTGTGTGGAGATGTTGCAGCAGGCATCCCTCATGACTGAGGYRCCTCGTCTGTGTGGTAATGATTGGGTTTTTCAACAGGACAATGCTGCAGTTCACAATGCCCGCCTGACAAAGGAGTTCTTCCYAGAGAATAACATAACTCTTTTGGACCATCCTGCATGTTCCCCGGATCTAAACCCAACTGAGAACATTTGGGGATGGATGGCAAGGGAAGRTTACAAAAATGGACATCAGTTCCAGARAGTGGATGCCCTTCGTGAAGCCATCTTCAACACTTMGAGCAARGTTCCCACTAGRCTCCTGGAAACACTGGCATCAAGCATGCCTAAACCATTGTTTGAAGTCATCAACAAGAATGGTGGAGCTACTCATTACCGAGTCCTTTTTTTGACACTTTGATTTCTGTTTTGGGGGGTTTTCGGGGTTGTTTATTTTTTTGAGCTATGGTCTTAAACTTTTGATCAGCTGAAAACATCATGTTTGAGTGTAAATGCAGTTTTCAGAAAATTCCCTGTTCAAAAGTTCTTGTCTCTTGCACTGATTTCTTCTTTTAARYTTGTGAAGCTCRACTTAGAACCTTCTTAAGATCCAATAGTGCAAAATGCAAATTCTTGCACTTTTTTGACTGGTCTTAAGATTTTGATCAGGAGTGTACCGCTGTATTAAAATATGGTGATGTATTTAAAAAATGAAACACGTGAGGTGATGCGCCAAATTTCTCTCTTTTTTTTACTCTACGTAAATTTCGTAAGCCGAGATGTGAGGTCTGGCTTAAAGTGTCGACGCCCTCCTCCAAAATCCGACCTAAAAGCCTGGTAGTTGGACATATTTGATCTGTTCTCAGCTTGAGTGACAGCAACATGTCAGAGCAGCTCACAAGCTTCTACGTTCTGTTAATTATTCATTACTCAACACGCCACAAATACTTACCCCCAGTAATACTGTGTTTTGTTAAGTTTATATGGTGGTAAAAAACAATTACTAATACTGCCCAACCCTAGTCATATTCTTCATCAAGTCAACTCAAAAGTTTTAGAGAAGGCCTGACCGCAGATACGTTTTCAACGACTGTCAGAAGATGAAAAAGCAACTTAAAAACACAGAAGTCACACAAACACAACGTAGAAACCAAATTKGCTGTGCATTTATTGAATACAAGTGAAAACAGCACCATGACATGTTTATGAGCGACGGGGAGGTTCAATCACTTAATGGTGGCTTTTTCCACTGGGGTGTTAAGCTTTTCTGTGTCGCACAAACTATGATTAAATGCAGCTAAGTTACTACTGCTTACTTTTGAAGAAGGCCAACGACCATTTTGTTTAGCAATTCGAAATCTGATTGAAAGCTGGAAATGATTAATGAACAATACAGCATCAGCTAATGTGAGCTCGACTCTAAGCAGGTCCACAGCTGCAAACTCCTGAACCAATCCCAGTTTAGTGCTGCACAGKGCTCAAAAAGCAGTCCAACCCAATCAAGTGGAAAAACCCTGAATCACCTGGACCAGGCGGGGGTGGTTTTGGGGGGGGTTAGTGTTTTGTAAGTGCAAAAGTGCATGTAGGAATGAAACGAACGTTCTGGTGCACACCAATGCCTCACCATAAGCTTTTTGGGCACAAGAGAAATGCCAGTTTTGCGCAAACCTTGACGCCACAACGCAGGACASCCTGGCTCCGCCAAAGGCATGAGTGGTGTAATATAATCAAACTAAAGCCAACCAAAACAAAGAGCCCAGGATGAAGGGGGGGGAAAAAAGATACGGAAAGGGAGGAAGACAAAAGGATGAAAAAGAAAAAAAAGACAGATCAAGACAGAAGCAAGAAGCAACAGAAACACTTTAAGCGTCAGGACGAGCATTTCAAAGCCTAGTTCGACCACACAGCGCCAAACATGGGCCACTATTAATATTAGCTGAAACATGGGCCAAATGCAAKTGTTCATGTTTTGTACACTACTAAATAAATGAGGTGTGTGAGCACCAGGCTTTAAACAACATTAGGACGTTGCGAGAAAAGAAGCGGCAAAAAAGTCACCAATTAAATTTGAGGAGACTTCTGTTATGAAAGAAAAAAATTACAGCCGTGTAAAACATTTTATAATTGCTTCCACTATCATGAGGTGGGATTAGCAATTATTTCCAACTACTGGAACAAAAAGAGGACATGTCCTTGATGAACTTTACCATCTCGTCGTTTCTGTTTTTGCCACCAGAGGGCAGCAAACCCAAAAGTGATCTTTTTTTTTAATTCTGAATTTCACATAATTCACCTGCCTACGTCTAATTTTTTATTTATTTTTTTATTTTTTGTTATCCATTAGTCAAGAATTCCCCACTAATTAAACCCATTGTTTATAATCTTCATTTTCTGTGATGACTTGAATATGAACTTTAATCTAATTCGTATTAACCCTGCTTTCCAGGGATACAATAAATGGAAGATTGTATTTTTTTACTGACTTGTTAAATGAATTATAACTAGGTTGGTAAAAAATAAAAACAAGGTTTAAGGGCTCAGCCTTTACAAGACATGGAAGTTACATCATGCCTGTGCAGCAGCTGTAAAAGTCCTAAAATACTTTTTAAGGCTGATTCTTGCAACTGAATGTGTTATTTTATGTCCAAAGAGGACAAGATAACAGAGCAGGTTGCCAAATCATACCTTCTTAACTGGTGAAGTGGGAGTGGTCACCTGGTTGGTTGGGCTAGTTGGAGATGAAACGCTGACTGTGGMTGGGGTGGGGGTCGTGCTGCTGCTCACCGCTGGAGTGGGCTTGGTTTTTTCTGGAGGAGGCGACACAAATATCAGCGTTGTTGTTCTTTAAATGACCAGATGATTTAAATTGGATAACAAAAGTTAAAGTGCAGTTAAAAGAGGAGTACCAGCTTCAGTCTCGGACTCGGAATCCTCCTCCTCCTCCTCGTCTTCACTCGAGCAGCTCGATTCGTCCTTCTTCCCCTCCTCTTCTTCATCCACTTTCTCCGGCTCCAGAGTCTCGATGCGTGGAGTGGTTTTCTCGGGCTCCAGAAGCAGTGTTTCTTTGCTGAGGCACAGGTGAGCGAAGAATATGAGGTTGTTGCTTTAGGGTGCGAGAAAACTACCAATTTTAAGCGTTTTACCTCTTGAGAGATTGTTGTGATTGGTTGTTGTCTCCTGTGGTTGTCGTTTCAATCAAAGGAGATTTCTTAACGTCTTTCTTCTCGCTCATCAGCTGAAATAGAAACAGAAAATAAAACCTGTAAGAGACCTGGAAGCAAATTGAAATATCGCAGAAGCTCAACTAGGCTGATAGAATGGATCGTCCAATCAGGATTCAGACTCACCAGGTTTTGCTTCTTTTGTAGCTCTTCTAAATATCCCAGAACATCTTCATCAGCTACGTCAAAAGCAGTCTGGCCCTGAGGAAAAAAATGTTAAATGAAAGTTATAATAACTGCATCGCACTTCCTGAGAGGTTTTCCTCATTCTTCTAGTTACTCACCATTTTATTAACAAGGTCCATGTCACATAGATTCTCCACGAGTATCCTACACGCCTCCTCTTTGCCCCAGTGTGCTGCTGCATGTAGAGGAGTCCAGCCATCATTGTCTTTAATATTTACATCATACCCTGCTTGGATTAAAAGCCTGCAGAATGAGAGGAATAGGAAGAAAATAGTTTTCAGAGACACTAGAAACTTGGGTTAGCTTAGCAAAAATATTGACACGTAACGTGAAAATCTAAGTCACTTAGAAAAGCTGGATGTGACACTACAGGTTGCTGTAATGAGGCTAACACTGAGTTCTCTAACAGCCATGGTAAARACCATAGATCTGAAAAGAATCCACGGCAGCAGAAGTTGTTGGCTGGCTGCCCAGAAAAGACAAACCGGCTACAAAAGTCCCTGCGCTCGAGCCACAGAAACAACGTCACAACAATGCAACGTGACAAGACGCGCAGACAAAAAAGATAAATCTGGTAACAGGAGGAACAAAAATAAACTAATGGTGAAATCCAGATCGCAGCTTACTTTAAAACCTCCACGTATCCTTTCGCAGCAGCTACGTGAAGCGCCGTTCCTCCGGATTTCGCATGCCGAGTGTCCTGGATTTGGCCGCTATTGAGCCACTGCCGAGCGTCCCTCAGCATGATCCGCTCCTCTTCTTTTCGGGCCGCCTCGATGTCCAAGCCTGAAGACAAGAGACAAACAATATTATAAACCTTTCAAAATAAAGGCCCGTGGGCCAAAGACGGCACTTGGGTGACTTCTGTCTGGCCCACCAGTAAGGCCCCATAATGAATGATTAAATCAAAATACTGGCTGACCATAAACTACATCTACCATAATGCAAGTCGATTATTTAATCTGCAAAATGACGTCATCCTAACAATTTGTGGAGGTAGGGCTGCCACGATTAGTTGATTAGTCGACGACTAATCGATTATTAAAATAATAGATGACTAATTTAATAATTGATTAATCGTTTTCTCTTTTTTTTGTTGTTTTTTACTTTGTTTTTCTCRCCAAACTGCTTTGACACCTTCCACTGCCACATCTYCCTTTCTGTCCTTGACACWCATGCACAGTAGTGGTAACTGGGGTAGGCCGTGGACGTCACAAGACATTATACAGACAGGCTCTGGTATCATGGCTACCGGACAACGGAGCTCAAAAGTGTAGGATCATTTTAAGAAAATGAAAGAGAAACCTGTGTAATATCTACAGAGCAGAACTTTCCTTCCACAGCTATTATTTTTAGTTAGCGTATAGCTAAAATCTAACCATGGTTATATAATAGCAGCTGCTGTCTGGCGCAATAAGCTGTATGTTTTATAGTCAATTAACATATGATCTGATTAGTCGACTAATCGAAAAAAATAATCCGTGATTAATCGATTATTAAAATAATCGTTTGTGGTAGCCCTAAGCGGAGGTGCACAGGATTCAAAAGTAAACTGAATAGCTGAATAAATATATTTTATATAGAAAGCAAATTTCAATATTTATGCTTCAAAACTTGTTTTGGATCATCAAACTTTAAGGCATAATTTTATCTAGGACTTGTTAAAGTAAGCCAACTATAGCATTGGCTTTAATATTAGCTTAATATACATATATTTAAAAAAACTGTTCAGTAGATACTTTAATAATTATTTTCTCCTGTAATGGAAGCACTATTGTTCTTGCTGATCCAGATACAKAAGAGCGTGCACTAACAGAAAGGTTTTATTGTTTATCAGCTTTGAGCAGAGCCAACAGTGTGACTTTGACTGGTGTGCATACCAGAAAGATGTCTCACCTCGCTTTATTTACAGTTTGTCAGGTGATGTCAGCCCCGTTTTGTAGTCTATTCCTCAAACAAACCACAGATGCAACTCTGAAACCACAGAACTTCCTCACATAACTAAACCCCTGCTCCAAGCACCCCAGTAATGCTCTGTGTGTTACATGCTGGAGTCAGGCGCTACAGAGAAACAGATTATTATAGCACTTTTTCTAAATACTACCTTTTGTTTAGCACTTGTTTTACTTTAAAGAAGCACATGTTCTGCTAAATTAACAACGCAATATCTGCACCAAACACACACTACTTAGCTCGTTTATGGGTCATTATGTCAGAGCTATACAAACAGGCCTGTATTGTTAAAATGACACCTGGTTGGTACTCACTGCTGCACGACTCACTGGCTTTTTTCACTTAATGTTGACAGCTCTGAGTCGAAACAATAATTTAAAAAAATGACGATGCAAATTAACAAAATCCTCCACAGTGTGTAAACCAAAACACGCAGTTTGTTGAAGAAGACCAGCCTCTCCCGTCACTTTGCAGTTTCAGAACCTCAAACAAGTCGATCTCAACCTCATTCCTGTTGACCACTTCCTAACAAGTTTAGCTCTGAGTGTTTTATCTCTGAGAGGAGAAAAATCGAACCACAAACACACAAGTGTTACACAACAGTTTGTTGCATAATGCTGCCTACCTCTGACATGATGAAATGAGCAGCTGCCCTCAGGCCAGGATGAAAGCAAACTCCCTCTGCAGGGGAGCTTCATCATGAAAGAAGTTTTTACTATTTTGTACAAATAGAAAATGAAATGCTGTAACACATTTGTCAATCTGGCTCACTGTTTAACCCCCCCCCCCCGCTTATTTTAAATAAACGTGTGAAGTGAACACAACCTTAGCATCTAGTCTTAGCTAGCCTTTTGTCAAATAGCTTAGCTAGCCTATTGTCACCAAACCTTTCTTAGCTAGCTATTTGCCACTAAACCTCTCTTAGCTAGCCATTTGCCACAAGGGCTGCCACAAACGATTATTTTAATAATCGATTAATCACCGATTATTTYTTCGATTAGTCGACTAATCGGATCATACGTTAATTGAATATAAAACATACAGCTTATCACGTCAGAATGCAGATGCTATTATATAACCATTAGATTTTAGCTATACGCTAACTAAAAATAATTGCTGTGGAAGGWAAGTTCTGCTCTGTAGATATTGCACTGGTTTCTCTTTTCTTTTCTTAAAATGATCCCACACTTTTGAGCTCCGTTGCTGGGTAGCCATGATCCCAGAGCCTGTCTGTATAATATCTTGTGACATCCACAGCCTACCCCAGTTACCACTACTGTGCATGTGTGTCAAGGACAGAAAGGCAGATGTGGCAGTGGAAGGTGTCAAAGCAGTTTGGAGAGAAAAACAATGGAAGGTGTCAAAGCAGTTTGGAGAGAAAAACAATGGAAGGTGTCAAAGCA